CCACCGTCACCACCACCACCGCCACCACCCTTACCCCCCATCTCCACCACCACTACCACCCCCACTATCAGCCCTACCGTCACTACCACCACAACCAGTTCCACCACCACAACCAGTTCCACCTCCACCACCTCACTCCCACCACCACCATCACTATCACCCCCACCACCCCCACTACCTCCCTTACAAACCACCATCGCCACCGCCATTGCCATCATCATCACCGCCATCGCTATAAACTCAATTAAAATCAATAATAAATTTCTAACAAACTCAGTTAAAATCTATACACAATTTCAATCAAAATCTATGTGGAGTTTGTAGAATTCAGTCAAACTTAATTAAATTCAATAAACTCCATCAACTTTATAACTCTTTTAAAATCATTTAAAATCTGAATTGAATACACCCTCCTAAATCACTTAATTACCAGGTCAGTTTTTAACCATTAAAACTTTGTAAAGCTGCAAGGAACCCACTAGTGTAGAGCAATTGCTCCCCCAGATAAGGTCTTGGGTTCATGTCCTAGTTTCCGTGTTGTGTGTGTTTGTGAGTTTAGTATATAATAGTTCCTCTCAATAGGAAAGGTCGTTATAAAAAATAAGAAAATAAAAAAAACTTTTTAAAGCTTGGCAATTTTTGGGTTTTGTTTTATGTTTTTGGGCCTTGATGGTGGCTACTGTTTTTAAGTGTCGGCCTTGATGTGGCTTTCATTTGCTGTCCCGAGCCTAATTGTGTCTGTTGTGGGCCTTAGGCTAACGAAATAGAATGAAAATAAATTGAGTGTATGACATAAACAAAGGATAAGTTCATACAATCGTCGGAGGACCGTGTCCGTCCTAATAAACCTTCAGGCCTCGTTTGGTGAGTAGGTGATGTAGTAGTATTGGATTAACTTAATCCAATGTCATTTTGGTGTTAAAAATGAATGTAGATATGATAAAAGATAATTCCATTATAATCTCATTATGTGCATTTTTGTAGGATTATTTAGTCTACCAAAAAGGTGGAATTTATAATCCCACTATTCCAACCCTTTAATTTTAGACCCAAGACTCAAGACCCGGGAGCCACGCCCACGACACAAATCCAGAGCACTAGAGCTAATGAAGGATACTTATCGTCCAGTCCAATGCAATCCAATTTTACTTTCTAATTCAATCAAATCCTAGTTACCAAATATAGCCTAAAATTAAGGATCAGACT